ACACCACAAAACCGACACCCCAAAGGATGAGAATGGCCCTACCCCAACGCTGCACACAGAAGAGCCCGGCGGCGGAACAGTACGGCCGACTCGAGTCTAAACCCTGAGTTTCTTAAACTAGGCCAGCTTGGCACCAAAGTATATGATTTGATCATCAACTTGGCGTTGCAGACGGACCGGCTGCATGTGGGTGTGGTCGAGAATGCGCACTGTGCTACCAAAATTGCCGGCATCACGGGTGTAATCCCAACCCCCTGAAGGAGGAACACACACTCTTCGAGGAATGTGACAAGCAAGCTAGAGTCAGATAGCAATGTGAATCTGAACGAACATGCGGTGAGACTTTCGACGAGCACCCAGGCCGAGAACAAAACCACAGAGACATCGAAGCCAAAGCTTCGGAAGCCACGAAAAAGCTCTGCAGTGACATGCCAAAAGTGCAGGTGTGCACCTCAAGACATCTGCTGCATCAGCCGGCAACACCTCGCAGAAGGGCCGCTGACTAGTGCCGGTGTCGGGTTGCTTCCGCTTCCTGTCCATGTACAAAAAATCTTCCAGGGTGAGTTTCCCAAGAACAAGGTCCGCCGCTGCGGCACGAGGGAAGCTTTATATATATATATATATATATATATATGTATGTGTATATATATATACACATAAATATGTACACATATAGACTTATAAAAACTGTATGTATGTATATATATATATATATATATATATATATATATATATATTTTCTACATCTATATGTGTTTATGTTTATTTATTTATATATGTATATATTGCATTATGTAAATTTATACTTATTTAGTTTATGCCAGTGTAGCTTTAAGTAGAACGAATAGTAGAAGTACAGGCTTGGCAACGCGAAGCCGCATACTCTTCACTGGATTCTGGCCACTTTCATGCGGGAAAGAACAGCGCTCCTCCCCTTGTTGACCATACCGGAAAAGGGTTAATTCGGGTTTAGGTATGTAATGACATTTCGGCGTATTTTGCCCTTCTCTACGGATCGTTTCAGCTCTGTATACAGGCAGGGCGGGCTCAGAAACCAAGCTCTCCGCGATCCTTCCCAGCGAACAGACTACACGAACCGTGAGTTGTCAGTAACACGCCTTCACGATTCACGGCCTACATGGGTGGCTGTCAATATTAGGGTCCTTTTATGGGTCCTTATTATAACACGGCACCGAATATCTAGGGGCCATAATTTTGACAACCCCCCATATGAATATATGCATTATGCATGTGCATCACATGTCTTAACCTGTTCCAAGCAGGGCTCACCGATAGCTCTCCAACCGTGAGGATGCCACGCTCAACGTATCGAAACCTGATGTAGGAACCTGATTAAGACACATTGGGTCTTTATTAGGGCTCCTTGAATGAAACCTACTATTTTGGGGTGATAGTCCCAGGGTTTCGTAATCAGGTTCCTACATTAAGGGAGAGGGCTTCCGGGTGTACTGGTACGAGGGAAGATGGGACAAGGATAAAGGAAGTCGAGTTCTCTTCGGTGCACCTGCCAGCCATCGTCTTCCATGGTCTCCGCTGCCAACATGTCCTGCCTTACAGTGTGGATTTCTGCCGGGGCCGAAACAATGTAACAACTAGTGTCAGCCAGGAGGAAAACTATAATCTGCAACATTTTAAACTCCTATGAGTTATACAGCGAGATACACTGCACTGTACTAGATTGTCCTTCCCTGCAGCTGTAGTGTCATCTGTTGCGGGGCCAGTAACGAGGTCGAATCAAGCCAGGTCTATCTATACCCAATACATCGGGAGGACGAAAGTTTGACCTACTGGGCCTTTCTTGTGTTAAGAAATCTTGCAGAGTAGCGGAGTAGCGAAAAGTGCGATTTACATGAACTGGCCAGCAGAGTATTTTATACCCCGTTTTGAAATTATACTACTTTAATGTTGCGGAGGAGTAACTGGTGGGTCCTGTTTGCCAGGGTTCTACGAGGGAATGGGGGCCTGTCTTGGACGAAAGTGACGAGAAAGGGAGTAGGTCAAACTTTCGTCCTACCGCAGTAACAGTACGTAACGATAACACAGAACAATGTACTATTATGTACCATCGTCATCTGTACTTCAGTTCAAACTAATTTGAATTCACTTAACGAACTATAGAATACATTGAACTAGTGTAATGGAAAACTACATAATATGAGATCAAGTCAAAAAAGATTATGTTCTAACACGATGTATTATTGCACATAACAAGCGAGATACAATACGGCTTTGTGTGATATCACACCTCTACTACCATGATACCAAACCAACATTTAATATGTCATGAGCGTAATAGAACACATTTTGGTGCAACATAATATGATATACCACAACAAAACATAGTATGACATGACCTGGTATGATGTAATGTAACGTGATGTCCTGTGATACAAGTGTCAGCTAAGATGTTGAAATGATAAAATGTAACACTATTAGATGACTATGTTTACACATCTGTACCTGTACATGTGTAGACGCATACATACATCAGGGTTCCGTCAGTGGAAACCCAACCCGGTAACCCAGATAAGTTTTCTTTAAAGCAATCCTGGCACCATCGTGTCTGGATGTGGCAACAATACTTACTGACTTATAAGCTGTCCTTCCTGCACCTCCGTGCTGCCTCTCCGACCACACAGATATAGGGAAGAGTATCCTACTTTCAACCAGACTTGCGTGAAAAGCATACGGACACTCAAGGATAACAGCGTGCACGCATATGCGTGCACGTTTCCTAACCTACATATCTGCCTACCTGACGCATACATACTCGCACAGGCACTCGCAGACTGACTCACGCGCACACACACACACACGGACACAGAGAAGGATAAACACGAGTCAACATGCAGGAAGTAGCAGACTAGTTAGGATCCCTTCTGAAGGCCTCCACAGATTCTACACCCCCAGTTCCGCCGGCGCCTGGTCTCCTCCAGCGGCTGCGGCTCGCAAGACCGAAACACCTGCGGGGCTTCATCTGGCAGGAGGTTTTGTGGTGTCGGAGGCTTTGGATTCTTGCATTCCTGCGAAGGGATGGGGGGTATAAGAGAGAGAGAGAGAGAGAGAGAGAGAGAGAGAGAGAGAGAGAGAGAGAGGGGGAGTGACAGAGACAGCGTTGCTGCCGTTATCATGGCGATGTCCTCCTAGTCGGCGAGTTCAGTAGACAATCGCAGCAACAAGCACAGGCTCAACACGACTGATTATACATTTGGGTGAAAGGGGAGCTTCAAGCAGTGATAGGGCATGTACCGTGAGTGCAAAACACGTACATCCTGGAAAAACTGTTCTTTTTTGCCGACACGGCCATTGCAGGCAAATGCATCGAAGACGAATGAAGGGAATCAAAGTGTTCATAGCGGCTATTGAAAACAGTACGGCCATGGCTATGAGTAGGGACTGGTGAAGTTTCGCCAAGAACAAACGCCAGCAACAGTTGTGCCAAGCTTGTGTATCGCGACAATAGGTCGGTGGACTTCGCGTAAAGGAAGCAACGAGTTCAGTCATACGGGTGTAGTTATGCAGCTGTGACACTCACAGGATGCAGCGCCATTACTGACAGTAACAGTTTAAGGATGATCCTGCATCTGGACACTCGCCGCTGCCATGCCGGAACTTTTCCTGAACCCTAGGAATGATGGTCCTTGGTGCCATTGGTAGACACAAAGCGGTTAACACGCAGAGCCGCAACAGGAACGAACAAAGAGCCTTCCCAACAGAAAGAATGGCAGTGCATGTGTTCCTTCGGTGCATGCCGGACCCGAAACCCTCCTGCATCCTGCTTACAATATCAGCAATCCCTCTCTCTCACCCGATGAAACCCTTGCCCCCAAACCCTAGACTGCAGAACCCGCGAAACCCCAGACCCTGAGACCTTTTTTGCAGCAGGCCTCGTTGTCCAGCAGCCCTGAGACCTAAACCCTAAGCAAGAAGAGCCATACCCTAGACTCGATAATCCCGAAAGTCGAAACCCTTTGCCTGAAGCTCAATTTCCCGCACTGGCTTCGCTTCCGCAGGTGGGGGAGCAGGCCAGAAAGTAAGCCCGACCTGGCTGGGATCCAACATGTGTATATAGGAGGCTTTTTTCATCAATAAATAGAAGAAACTTTTCGGGTATATTGTATCGTTTGACTGTAATAAGGGACTGGAAGGAATCCATGTTACAGTCTTTTGGGTGGCTTCCTTTGAGAGCTTCGGCTTGACCTGGACCCCCGCGTGAAGATGCTGAGCCCTGAAGTAAAAGTAACCCTCCCTCTCTCTCTCTCTCTCGGACTCAGGGGTCTGTCAGCCGTGCGGTTGCCCGGTAAAAGTAACCCTAAACCCCAAAACCCTGAACCCTAAAATCCAACACCCCCCAACCCTGAATCCAAAACCCCCAAACCCGGTTGCTTCGATCAATGCAACGGTGTGCCTCATAGATGCTCTTTACACCAGCCTGTGAGCAAGCAAAACGCAGGCTCTAGGTTTTTAAGGCTTATAAGGGTTTAGGGCTTGAGGGTTTAGGGCTTTAGGGTTTTAGGATTCAGGGCTTTAGGGTTTTAGGGATTAGAGCTTTAGGGTTTTAGGGTGTAGGGTTTGGGATTGAGGGTTTAGGACAGAACATCTGGTCCAACTGCCCCTGGCGCTTCCAAATGTCTACGGAGGGTGCCTGATTGAGAAGGTTCGTGCATTCAGGATCTTTACTTTAGGGGTCTAAACTCAGGAGGTCCGTGAACTCTTCGAAGGCCCATGTACCAACACAAAGCACGACAAGCAGGATTAAGCATGGTGTACAACTTACAACAATCGCAAAACCGCACGCATCACAGCTTCAAAAGACGTAGCTGGGCAAAACGGTACTGAACTCATCTATTGCAAGACATGTGCCGTTCGCCCACAAGTTCTACTACCTAAAGCCCCAGCTACTCGGCTTCGATGCTAATCCCTCAATCGCCAAACCTACATCTTCAGTGGCAACTAATTTGAAAAACCGTAACGCAAGATCAGCAATCATGAAAGGGCGCGAACTCCAAACCCGAAGCCCTCAACCGGGGAGCCTTCAAACGCAGCCAGTGCCCTGCTGCATTCTTCGCGGCATTCCGCGCCGAGACGGCGCTCTTCGCGTTTTCGAGGCCGCGGCGCGTGTAGGCCTGGCACATGTGTGCATGCTCGACTATCCGCTATCTCTCCGTCTTCGCTGCAGGGGCATATATAAGACCTCCTACTTTCTACACTGAAGTTTGAGGTTCTGCAGGCTTTTGAAGCTACTGAAGTTTCCGGTACAAAGGTGAGGGCCAGAATCAGAAAACTGCCTCACGAAAACTGCTTTTCAACAGAAACATTCCTACTGGCACCGTTCTCATACCCACAGCCTCTAATTGCTGTGATTGTTCAGACCTCAACACAACACCAACTGCTCCCTTCCGCCGATCACTCAGCGCCCCCCCCGGAATGGGTTTAATATCTGGGCTTCCATTTTAGGATCTCCCCATGGCTCAGCACTTTATTCTAAATCCTTCCTTGGGGAGGGCGCAAAACCTGCAATACTACGTTCCTGTGGCTGCTGCAGCCTGCAGCGTTTGCAGTCCTATGTTCCTGTGGCCCCTGCTGGCTGCAGATCTTGCAGTCAACTCAACTCATACATTCTGGCACACGCTCACTCTAGCAATCGTAAGTTTCTGATGCTGGGACAATTCCCGAACCTCAACTCTGAAATTGAGTGCTCAACTCACACGTTCCAGTACACGCTCGCTCTTGCAGTCGTAACTTTTCGGGTATGTATACATATATATATATATATATATAAGTGTATAGATATGGGGTTTCCCTCTGCTCCTGCCTTTACGTTGTAACGCCTCTTAACTCTTCTTGTGCCTTCCAAACACCAGCCTGCGATTAGGCTGTTGTAGTAACCGGAGGAGGTGAGTACCCAATCATTAACCTGTTTGGCACTCAGATCTTCCAAAATCCCTTAATTAAGGAATATGCCTTAAATCATATTAGGGATCCTACTATAATTTAAGGTATATTCCTTACATTACTTAAGAGATTTTGGAAGGTCTGGGCAGTTCTGCCAGGTAGCGAAGGCCGTCTGCCCGCCGAATCTGCCAAGACCAGACTGGCCGACCACTCGCACCTCCACAAGTTGATACATTGCATTTTAATTTTAGGGGCTGAGTCCCCCAGGGTTCCTTTAAAAGGGGCCTATAAGGGATACTATACAGGATACTCTAGGGGTATAACAACTCTGGTAGATAGGAGTATATAAGCCCCGAAAGGTTGCCTACTCTGAGCATTGCAGTTTAGTTCAATTGCTTTTGGATCACAGCTCGCGCTCTTGCAGGGTGGAAGGATTTGCGGTCTGAGTCCCACATTGGCCTTGACTTCAAGCCGGCGGTGGCTGCGAGGGTGTTAATGTGGCTTGGGCTGCCCGCGTCTGCATGTTGTTGTTTCGTTGACAGGGTGGAGTTATGCCGGTGGCCGGTGGTTAGTTGTCTTCCGTCCTGCTTTGCAGCCATTCCTGGTACTGTCGATGGTGGCATTTCCACCGCTTTTGGTTGTGGTGGTTGTTGTTGTTGCTGCTGTTGCTGCTGTTGCTGCTGGTGCTGCTGGTGCTCTTGCTGCTGTTGTTGTTGTTGTTGCTGCTGCAGCTGCTGCTCTTGTTGTTGTTGTTGTTGCTGCTGCCGCCGCCGCTTCTTCTGCAATCCTAGCTGTCCTCGTTGTGGTGTCCTCGTCCTTTCCCTCGTCGTCGGAGAAGCAGGGGTTGTCCTTGTGGTTGTACTTGCAAGGTGTTGGTGTTGCCGCTGAAGTTTTTCTTGTTGGTGGTGGTGATGGCGGTGGTGGTGCTGCTGTTGCCGGTGCCGCGCTGTTCTTGCTGCTGCGTCTGCTGCGATCTGCTGCGACTGCCCCTGACAACTTACAAGGCACTTGTGAAGAATCCTAGGCACGAGCAAGAGCCTCACAAACAGATCTGCACCTTGGCAAAATTAAGTATATTGTAAACGCAGAATCAGATAGAAAGCCCCCGAAGCCACATAATTCAAGTTCTACTAATACGCCCCATGCATACCATCACCACAATCTTTCCGCTCCGGCAGGCCTTATCCGCTGCCGCGACGCTAACGGTGCAGCCTTCGAAGTGCCGAAAAGCAAGGGGACGCCACCAGACATGGGACTTGCTCAGGTGCTGACCGAACTAATGGGCAATACTGACAATACCGGATACAAAAGCAGACCCTAACTTCTCTACCCTGATATCCTAGAACTAAAGAGCGATCACACAATTCAGCTGCGACCATGTCTTAATCAACAATGGTTCTTGATAGAGTTCCAGCGGTCTTTTTGGCTTAACTCCGCCTATCCGCTTGCTACAGAACGACAGTTCCGGTAACGTCATAATGAAGACTCTCGTGTGCTCTGTTGAAGCTGCACGCGTTTCGACAATGACAATGTGGAGAACCAGCCTGTTGTTTGAAACTACTGGACGAAAAGGTTCAACCGATGAAATTTTGTAACCTGCTAAATTCTGTAACCTGCTACTATAATCATAAATTTGGGATCGTTTGGGGGCCCTTATAGAACCCTAAACCGTAAGCCATGCCCTTAAAAACCCTAAACCCTAAACTTCAGGCCTTAACTCCAAACCCTTCACTGCTCTTTTTTGCAGAAGCCTACAAGGACTAACGGCGGCCTGCAGAGAGAAGACCCAGGGCGCCCGCACGGCACTTCCAGCGGTCCTGTGCTGCACTGCAGTTTTTTTTAGGGTGTCGGGTGTAGAGTTTGGATGGAGTCAAGAAAGTTTTCAGAAGGAACACAACAAGGCTGTATTAAGGGCATCGGGATTTGGGAGACTGGCTTAAGATCAAATTTCGGGGTTCTGAGGTCCGTAGGGTTTCACAGAGGGTTTTAGACTTAGAGTGTTTTATGCGATCCAAACGGGTTCTGTGAAGCTCTCATAAGGAGTTTATAGGGCTTCTTTTTTTCGATGGGTGATTTTTCAGAGTGGCCCTAGCTCTTGACCTCCTGCTCTGGCAGGGTCGAGGGGCCTTCTTGCAGAGTGGCACGGTTGTGTCTATATCCTCTTGCATATGCACCGCATATTGTTCGACATCAAACTACCCTCGCACATGGCTGTGACCCAACGCGCGAGCCTAGTTATAATATATAAGGACGTGACCGTATCGCGCCCAATCACATACTAACCAGCTAGACCTCAACACACCCGAAACTAAAACCTCCTCACACCCTCGCAAATGCTCCGAAAAATCACGCGATGGACCCCGTATCAAACCATGTACAGCCCCATATCGGGGCCTTTCGAAGACTCCGACTCCCAACATCCTAGACACTATCTAAGCCCTACTTGGAGGGTCGGGGACCTTAGTAAGTGGCAGTAAGTAGACTTATAAGTACCCCAAAAGGGACCCTAATTCGGGTTAGGATACTTATAAGTCTATACAATAACTAGCTACTGAAGTCCCCCGACCCTCCAAATACTCTAAACCCTAAACCCTATACCCTTATAGAATCCCTATAGATCCCTTTAAAGGAACCCCTTATAGTTACTTAAAGTCCCCCGACCCTCAAAGTAAACTCCTACCAAACCCTAAACCCAAAACCGAAAACCCTAAATCTAAGCCCTAAACTCCAAGGAGGGCCTTCCGTACTGCACCGAGCAGCATGTCCTGCACAGAAGGACGCGGCTAAACTTGTCAAATATGGGCTCTTTTCAGGCTTCCTGTAGGGGTTGCTTTCGCGACTACTTTAAGGGATACTACAAAAGGCTACTATAAGGATGTTATAGGGTTTAGGGTCCAGGGTCGAGGAAGTTTGGACCAAAATGTAGGTCTAGGGCCTTGAACCTTAAAACACTCATCTGTAAAGAGGAAACCCCGAAATCCAAACCTAAGACCCCCATGAACCCAAATCGTAAGACCATGCACAAGAGCCCCGAATAGAACCCCTTAAAGAAACCTCTGTATGATGCCCTGACAGCCAACAAACAATCAACCCCTGAAGCCCTGAACCCTCAAGGAAGAACGCTGATCAACGTGCTGCTGGACCTGGGCCGCTGCGACGGCCTAAGCTGGTCAGATTGGTTCGGCTCCTTTCATTTGAGCATTGTACGGTTGAGGCTTTGTGGGTTCAATATAGGGCGTATTGTGTATACATATATATATATATGTATATATATATATATATATATATATATATATATATATACATATGTATATGTACGTGCCCAAATATGGAGGGTTTATGTAGAGTGTATTTGAAGGCGGGAGTTAAGGTCTAGAGTACAGGTTTAGGGTTTTTTGGGGATGTATTTTAAAGGCTTTAGGACCTGATTTACTCGGGGGCTTGAGGCTTGCATTAGTTTTAAAGCTCCGGGAAACTGATTGAGGGCTTCAGGCTTCAGGGTGTTCCCATAAATCTTCACCAGCTGTGCCCAACTTTGGAAAGTATAGAGGCAGATGCAAGATCCTGGTTGTTGCCTTTTGCTGCAGGCTTGCTTGCAAGGACGCCTGGTAGTTGCCTAATCCCGGAACCCTAAACCGGAACACAAGCAGCTGAGAGCTCGGCACATACAGCTGGTGCCAAACCTGCAGGAACCTGAACAAGTCTGGCAGTTCCGGCGTTAGGGCTTAACTCTGAGGATATATTTCGGGTTGAAGTTTGCAACAGCGCAGGGGGGAACTTACCGGTGTGCGAAGTTGCCTTGAGTTTGCCGACCCAGTCGCACAAACTACCCAAAGGCCCCAATTTAGTTCCTTTTTGGGGTTCATATATAGAACCCTATAAGGTAGTCCCTAAAAGGAACTACTTTGGGGCCTATGGGTATTGCTGTCGTGAGATGTCAAAGAACAAGCGGTCAACATCACCGCGGGGGAGCTGCCACTCCCGCCGAAGCAACGTCTGCGACGGTTTCTAGTTGCCGGTCCGGCTGATGCGCTTCTTATGCGGCAGCCGCAGGCTGTGGCTGCATAAACATACTCGACTACAGGAGTTAGCAGGAATATGTGCCTTTCAGCTCTACATCCCACAAGAAGAACAGATCACAAGCTGGCAAGCAACGAGGACATATGCAACCAATCATCATGTCCCGTGGCAGAAAACAATACAGACCTTATAAACCTCCCGCTGGAAAGCAGTGTTTTCAACGCATCAAACCTCCAAGTTCTTCTTTTAGAAATTTATGTCCACGAACATTCGGAAGCCTTATGTCCAACAACCCCGGTGCTTTGTTGTCATCGTTAGTCCCCGGGCGTCCATCATGATCATCATCTGTATTTATCTGTATGTCCTTGTTCATCATCTGCAGCACCATCGCCACAGTACCCACGGTCTTGATTACAGCCACCATAACTAAAAATCATCATCAACTGGGGCAGAGTAAGTCCTAATCCTCATTCTGATAATGATCGTCGTCGCCATTATACTGATCATCGCCCTCATCATCAGTCCATGACCCTTCACTTCAGCCGTACCTCCCTAGCGGAAGCTCAAGACTCAAAACTCCATCACGAATCAACTCGAAAATGACTCCGTTTTATCAATGCAGCCCTGGTAGCTGCCAGGTTGGCCAATGATGCTGTGCACAGGGCCACCGACCCAGCAACCGTCACGCCTTCAGACACTACGGACCATTCGGGATTCCTGTCGAGGTAAGGCCCTCACCCCCCTTCTAGAACCCCTATCAAAAACCGAAAAGCTGTATATTCTGTAGAGGTCTCTTAATGTCTGAATAGAACAAAAACTTCGGCACTTTGTAGTTCTGACCTTGCGGGCAGAATTGGGACTCCGATTTGGCACCTCACCTGCATTAAGTTGCAAACAGAGGCCTAGTGGGGGGGCTTGGGGCTGAGAGGGTTTACGCTCTCGAAACTCGGACTTGCCAGACGATGTCTCAGTTTCGAAGTACGAACTGTGGGTTTTCGTAGAGTCTTGAAGCTTTCGGCCCTCACAACTCGGACAATCCAGGAGGCTTGGTCAGCTGATCTGAAACTATAAAGCATCACGGGATTGACTGCCAGCAGCATCACCCCAAACAACTAGGAGGTACAGGCTTTGGGGGTTTAGGGCTTTGTGGGTCACGGTTTGCTTCGTGTTTAGGTCTTTGAGGTTCAGGAGTACTCGTCTGTGATCGTAACTAAGTTTTAATCGGCCAAGCGTGTAGGGTTGAGGGTGCCTGGTCCAGCAGAACCCTTGCTTCATGTCTAGGGTTTAGGGCTTCTTGGGCTTAGTGTCTCGGGTTACGCCGGTTACGCATCAACATGGGGGTTTCCAAAACTAGGGGAACCCCTAATAAAGTATCCCAAATAGTAGGATCCTTATCATAAGGACCCACAAAACATAAGGTGCCCCTAATTTCGGAAACTCCCAAAATAAGACTCTAAGACTTCCCAGGTGCAGCCGATCGCAGACTCGAGCCGCTTCTCTGAGTTGCGAATGACCCTGGCAGGTGATGGTTTGGCGGCAGACTCTGGCACACCGAAACCCCAAAACAGGAGCAGCAGTAGCAGTAGCAGTAGTAGTAGTAGTTGTTGTTGTTGCTGTTGTAGTTGTTGTTGTCGTAGTTGTGGTAGCTGTGGTCGTAGTTGCAGTTGTAGTTGTGCTTGTAGTTGATGTTTTTGGTATTGTCGTGGTTGTAGCCGTGGTCGTAGTTGTACTTGCAGTGGTAGTTGCTGTTGTTGTGATTAGAAGAAGAAGAAGAGAAAAAGAAGAAGAGCCCCGTTCCAGCCTGATTCGCTTGTGGCAGTGGGGACACTGGCTGTCCAAGCCACCCAAAGGCAATTCGGAGGGGTCGAAGGCCTCGGATGAAGTCCCTAGACCATAAACCTTGATCTCTTCCTTACTGCCTGCGTTCTTGCCGCTTCCTTCATTTTCTGCTGGCTACAGGCATGCCTCTTGGAGGTTAGTGTGTTGGTACTGCGTCTATGGCTGTGGAAGTCATCAGTTGTGCATCTCCGCAAATGCCTAAACATGCAAAGAGTGCCCGAGTATGTACTAGCAGCAGTCCCCTCTGCCCGGTGTCACCGCAACCAATGAAACCCAAGAAACGTCTGGACGCTTTTGGATTCGAAGGGGGACGTGATACTGCAAGGTTGTTCAGTGTCTAGGGTTTATGGTTGAAGGTGCTTTCGGGTTTTCATAATCCATGTCAAGTTCTTCGCTTGCAAATACTTCCCAATGGCCCCGATGTGACAGGAACCAACCAGCAACCAAGATCCTGCTCGAACTGAGACTATGCTGTGCTCGCTTATGCGCCAGTCCACTCAGCTGTGGTTGATCACTTCATGGTCCTACAAACCACGGCCGAAAGCTGCAAGGAAGTCTGAGCCAGAACATGATCCTGATCAAAGCCGAAGCCGTTTCCAACAGTCATCTGCCGAGGAACAATGCTAGCCACAATCAGCTTGCGACACTGCGGGCACTCGCAGCGGAGCGGCATGGCTGAGACAGACTCAGGGAAACGCACACCCAGCAGGTGCTGAAAGACTTGTGCAAGAAATCTGAATCTGAAGCGCATTCCCCTGCATTTGCATTGCACTTGTCGCAGCCTTGTCTGCATGGAGCCCAAGTGACTGCTGATCACCGCATCACTCCCGATGCTTCTAAACCTGTGCTTTGACACCAGGCACTTTGCGCAATTATACGTTCGTGCAGACTTACTTTAGTGTTCATGCGCGGAGAGACAGGAAGTCAGAACACGATTGCCGCTATTACTTTACCCTAAGACTCCAAGTATACAAATAGTACCTACTTTGGGGTCTAAAGTCTATAAATGCTACCTACTTTGGGCTATTTGGAGTCTTAGGGTTAAGCATGTTCGGACTTTCAAGGCGCAGAGGTTTCAGAAGTCAGAAGACATCGCCTTGCTTGCGGCTCGACGCTTCCCAAAAACGGGTCCATGTACGGCTACTTGGAGGGTCGGGGGACTAAGTAACTGGTTATTTTAAGGACTTATAAGTACCATAACCCCAAACTAAGTCCCTCGACCCTCCAAGTAGTCATCTAAAGTATGCGTTGCTGGCTTTCATTTTGTGGTTGGTAAAGTATATAGCTACGTTTTTAACCCAGGCTCTGCCGATCTGCTGGGAAGCAGCACTGCATTGCCGTACTGATAGTCGACGCCCTATACCCTAACCCCTAGAGGGTCCATATACACTACTATTATGGAATTAGGTCCCCAAAACCATAATGGGGATGGTTTTGCAGGGCCTAATTCCATGATAATAGTGTATATGGACCCTCTGGGACCTATGTAGGTCCGAGAGCCACGCTTGCCGCCGCGACCAGGGAAGCGAAGGCGATCGTTCTGACCTTGACGGAATGCTATGAGGGATCGAGTTATTGTTTTGGAGGACGGTGGTAACCCAAAGGAAGCATGAACCCTATCTGCACGTAAACACATGTGTATGCATTTGTATAAATCGCATATTGGTGCATAACTGTGTAGTATATTCATATATATATATATATATAGATAGATAGATAGATAGATGTATGTGAGCATGCACAAACAACCCCGGCAACTGTTGATCTTCTCGCTGCTCTTTCACCCCAGCCTGAAGCTGGAAAGTGACAATATGCATGAACAAGAAGACAAGACCACACCGCACTTTTCAATTCAACACGATCCACCGCTACCACTGTTTTGTAAGAACTGTTAGGCAAGCACCGCCCAGAAGCCGAACAATGACAGTTTGCGGCGCAGGTTGGGCTGAGGCATGTTCCGGCGTGCTCCAGTTTGAAAGCGAGACTCTGGAGTGATTTCGTAGACCGGGAAACATAGGTGTGTCGAGATAGTTGGATTGTCGTTTTTTACGGCCCTCTCACAGACTCAGCCGAACAGTGCCAAGGTCTACGTGTGCGGCAACCTTGTCTGATTCGGTTTCTAGATCATATGGCGAACTCTTCTTGCATCAGGACTTGCACAATTGCCCGAGTGTCTGAGCACGCGGTGGTTCAGCTCCCCTCAGCTCTGAGACCTCCTTCAGGTGCTGCTTGAGAAGCAAGACGGCAGCTTTTCTCGGAGCGCGAGCTCTCCAATGCCATTTCATGATGTAAAGCGCCGGTCGGTTGTTTCAGGGTGCCGAAATATCAAAACAACAGCAGCAGTCGCAAGACCCTAAGCATCTTATTTCCCCCGTCTCTCCCAAAATCGGCACTTCTTGCCCCGACCGACCCGGAAAAACTTCTTCTACAGCACCGGTGTCCAGCTCACTTGATCAGCGGGTTGGCGAAGAGGAGCACCTGAGTTGGGCGCCGAGAGGCTGACATTAGGCCACGATGGTTAAGGATTTGAGATATCACCCCGAAATATACTGTAGTAGAATGACTACTGTAGTTATATGATGTTATCTCGCGACTTACCGGCTTAAGTGCTAAAGAAAACGACTGCAAACCGGGGCCCTAGATGGGGTTTTAAGACCATCAGGAACCCAAATATGGCACGGCAAATCGCGGCAGGTATCGACTCGAGATCATGACAGTTTGCAAGCACACGCCGGGTGAGACTCCGCGTGAAGTGATTAGGGGCTGTGCAGTGTTCTACTCCTCGTGCAGCTAGGGTTTAAGGCTTCAGGGATCTAGTGTTCAGGACGTTGGGCTTTGGGATTGAGTCTGCCAGCGGTTTAATCCGAACTGAGTCGAAAAGTGGGATGAGCGGCTGAGCAGGCACCTTGCTCACCAAACCCGCGGCGCAGGGTGCCTGGTCCTCCATCGAGCTCAGGTACAATCCGAAACCCTGAACCGGCTTGACTGCAAACCTTCCTCTATGGTGCGAAACAGAAGCGCAGCCGGGCATCTGCCAGGTTAGTTTCAGGTGAAGACCTTTTGGGACAGCTATGGACACCTTCTACATACCTAAACCCTAAGCCGCATAAAAAAAACGACTCCACTTTGAGGTCGGCACCAAGGCAATGACGAGGCCGTAGATGGTCAAGGATTCCATGAAGGCGAGGGACAGCAGCCTTGTATACACGGGCGCCACGATTAAGGTGATGAGAGTACGGTAGTTTTGTGCTTAAATACGTACTTCTTTACAGGGACTACAAGGTCAGACAGATCGGCCTCAGTGAAAAAATGCAGTGGCTGCTTGTGAGTGTTCCGGAGTGTTGGGCCGGACGGAGGATCTCTGTTATGATCCCCTGACTCTAATTTTGGGCTACATGTACATCAACTCCCAAATTCCGCCCAGCATCAGCACGCCGCGCAGGTCATCCGCCACCTCGTGGTGCTACGGCCGTCAAGTCTGATCGGAATCCCGAAATCCCGAAGTAATGAAACCTTGACATCCTAAGAAGACGCCGTGGAACACCCAACATCGAAAGTTGAAAGGCATACCCTTTTTCATAAACCCAAAGTCCCAAAACCCTGAACTTCAACCTGGGATTCCTTGGATACTGAACCCTAAAGACCTAGAACCTGAAGCCCAGAGCTCATGAGGCCCGAAGCCCTAGAATCTAAATCTAAATCCTCCGGCACAAAACCCTGAAACCCTTGTTCCGAACCGTAAGTTCCCTAAAACTCACCCCCAAACTTGCCAACAACTCCATACTGCACCATCAGAAAACAAACACTAAAACGCTAGATCCTGAACTCTTGGGCCCCATGAGCAGACATGTAAGGGGATACTACTACTACTACTACTACTACTACTACTACTACTACTACTACTACTACTACTACTACTACTACTACTACTACTACTACTACTACTACTACTACTACTACTACTAACTACTACTACTACTACTGCTACTGCTACTGCTACTGCTACTGCTACTGCTACAGCTACTGCTACTACTACTACTACTACTACTACTACTACTACTGCTACTACTACTACTACTACTACTACTACTACTACTACTACTACTACTACTACTACTACTACTACTACTACTAAGGCATCCCCCCCCGGTGCGACGCCCAAACCTTGTATTTTTGGGACTTGCTGTGGTCGGAAATGCTGTGTTTTACAGCACTTTTTGTCCGCAGTTATCGAAAGTGGCAGCTGTTCCTGGTTTCGTGTGTATGTTTATCATATTTTCTAACATTGTTCATCAATCTCGCACCCGAAAATGCTGGTATGTACAGCACTTGTCTTTGCGAATTTCATGTTTTTTTACTGTTTTTGGGTGTCTCGATTTTCGTGCCCAAAACCTAGCGATCAGAATCAAGGTTTTTTGGGCCTCATTTTGATCATGATGTTCATTCCAATCGTTGGTTTGGAGAGCATCCATGTCCAAAACCTAATGACGTCCATGGTCTAGCGCATTTTGGTTTGGAGAGCATCCATGTCCAAAACCTAATGACGTCCATGGTCTAGCGCATTTTGGTTTGGAGAGCATCCATGTCCAAAACCTAATGACGTCCATGGTCTAGCGCATTTTGGTTTGGAGAGCATCCATGTCCAAAACCTAATGACGTCCATGATCTAGCGCATTTTGGTTTGGAGAGCATCCATGTCCAAAACCTAATGACGTCCATGGTCTATAGCGCGTTTAGGTTTGGAGAGGATCCATGTCCAAAACCTAATGACGTCCATGGTCTAGCGCATTTTGGTTTGGAGAGCATCCATGTCCAAAACCTAATGACGTCCATGGTCTAGCGCGTTTTGGTTTGGAGAGCATCCATGTCCAAAACCTAATGACGTCCATGGTCTAGCGCATTTTGGTTTGGAGAGCATCCATGTCCAAAACCTTTCGGGTTGTTGTTTCATTGCATCGCACCGAGCGGGGATGGTACTTTCCACTGCTCTCTAACAGCTTACTCTGTGGTTCACTAGTTCAATAACGAGTAGAGGCGCAAGAACCGCACATCAGCAGCATCCAGCATTATCATGTTCATCATCACTTTCGTCAGCACCGTCTCGAATAGCATCATCATGAACATCATCATCATCATGATCATCTTCATCTTTATGTTAGGCCGGATTTCTTTGAGCCTGTGTTCGGGTTGTCTTCCATGTTGTACATCCACGAACTCAGCGACCGCCGTCGCACCAGGGGGGGATGGCCTACTACTACTACTACTACTACTACTACTACTACTACTACTACTACTACTACTGCCACTGCTACTCATTCCGACCCTGATATTTTACACCCTTAGCCCTGAACCTTTCAGACACGACTAGTCTTGGGAACAAACCTGTAAGGTTCCACGTGTACAGACACCCAGGCGTGGCATTTACCGGGCCGGTTTTTCAGCTAGGGTGTCGCAAGGTTGGAAGTCTATAGTTTTAGTGCATAAATGTGCATAATAACAGTAACGGTATGTCGCAATAATAATGATACTAGTAGTAATAATATTCCTTTGTGCTCTTGAACCCCGCAGCTAGTTCCAAATTCCCGGAGGTCGGCCTCTGGCTGCCTGGAGATGCCATCAATGCAACGGCCGCTTGCGATGCCCTGAAGCTGCGCTCATTCCCTACTTGGAGGT